GGGGGCGGGCGATGGGTTTCCTTCACCACTATCAGCAACACAGGCACCAGTGCTGCAAAAGTTTGGGTCTAAAGCTAAAATTAAAGTAAACTAAAGCCTAAAGTAACTCTAAGTAGCACTGTATTACAACTCTATTCCTAGTACTTGCATAGTTCCAGGGTGGGAGGGCTTTGTAGCCCCCCCCCTTTCCCTCCGTCCACAGGCATACACACGTGCACACATACAAACACACATTCAAACACATACATACACACCCCACACAGATACACTCATTCAAATACATGTGCAAACTCCCGAAAATACGTGTTTTCCCAGTTCACCACTGATGTAAAATTGCATAAAGTGAGACCAGTGCAGTGGGTAATCCACTGAAGCCATATTCGTTGGCTAGCTTCTCATCAACCGAGCCACTCCAAGTCTGTTTCCATGCCATGCCAATAGCAGTGAGTGTCTTCGTACAGGCATTCAGCAGTGCATTGACCAGCTCTATACAATAGGCATCATTCGTCCTCATAATTGCCATCTAGAAGAAATGCCATTGTTAGGAGGAGGGCGAGAAGTTAGAATTTCGATACCCATAAATCATTTTAGAACGAAAACAGCAAAAAACTTACAATGAAAATAAAGAAAAAAAAGCTCTTCCACCTTTTAACTCTTTATTTTCACTATTATTTTCCTCTGTTCAATATTTACTAATAAACAGTACAGTGTAATACTATAATATAAATATATATAGGTGCTTAAATACTCATATTATACGTATCTGTATACAACAACTTAAAATTAATAATATAATATTAGTAATAATTATGACAATAACAATATTGGTAATAATTATAATACAATATTAGTAATAATTATAATACAATATTAGTAATAATTATGACAATAATAACATTACAGGTGACTGGTGCCGATACTTATTTGAATTTGGATATGGAATCAACAAGCCCACCTTCGGTAAGATGCTATTATACTTTGCACATTACTACTTATCATCTGTAATACTTTCTACTTTTACTAAGATACACTTTCTGCTTTTACTAGTATGTTAATAAAACTAATGTAATTTATACCAATTACAATTACCATAATCATCGTACTGACGAAGTCCAGTTGTGGTAATGGTAAGAAATGTATACGACTTAATGGACCGAAACATTTCTTACCATTAAAGTAATTTTATTGAAATAATTTTACTACTTTTACTAATTTATTAATATTATTTTCTCTTCTATTCTTCATCCTACTTCAAAATACCTCTATATTAAAACTGCTAAAATAAACATTTTTCGAAGCATACAAAAGCCATAAAAATCATTGCCCTAAAAACTTCGAGTTTTTAAAAATTAATGAAATAACCTTAAGGAGAGAAAAGATGAACACGGAGAACCAGTGTAGGGATCCGGCGCTTTTCACTGCATGAAGACTGATCACAATTCGAGTGGAACACGACAGCAACACGTACAGCAACTTCGAATAAACACATTCATCTGCATTTGAGACCGTCCTAAAACAGCGATTTTCTCTTCAGCGCCTGTTAATTAGTCTGATATCGATCTCAAAACAGTGCAATTTTAATCTCAGCGACTGCGGAAAGGACACCAACTACGCAGACTACTCGAGGGTAAGGCTGCCCTATGATGAAACGACAAGTGATCAAGACATCATGTTCTACAAAAAACAATGACAAAACATAAGAAACTATGGAATAGTCATTTATTTTTTCTTTTTTTTTCGCAAATTCGGAAGAAACTGTTCCGCAAAAAAATTTTTTTTGTAAATTCGGAAAAAACTGTTCTGCAAAGAAAATTTTTTTCGCAAATTCGAACGAAATTTTTCCGCAAAGAATTTTTTTCGCAAAAAAAACTGTGAATAGGGTGCAGTAGCTTTCGATTTTCGATGCTTTCAAGCTGAAGGTTAAGGGTCCGATCTCAGCTAATGTAACAACCAATTCCACTACTATTCATTTATTCTTTTTTTTTTTTTTTTTTCAATAGTAAATTAGTATTGGCGCATCCGAGGAGTTAAATTGGCCATCTACTTGTTTCTTGACAACTACTGAATGAGAATCATCGAAAACTTTGCCAGCGAGTGGTTGCTATTGGCATTTGCTGTCACTAACACTACTCCTGAATGCCTTCGTTCTTTAGAAAAACTGCATGCGGAGGTTGAATTATGACTTCAACTGTCTCATATATATTTCAAGAGCACTGCAATGCAGCTAACCGAAGGAGATAGATTAATTTGGCGCTCCATTTGTGTGCAATTGTTCGGGGTGATGCTACGAAACAGTTCGCAAATATCGCATCCACGTTCTCAATAATCATTTCCGCCAAATTCAGCAGATTTTTACTGAAAAAAAAAAACATTATTTGCCATTTCTGTTTTAAAAAGCAAACCCACAATATAATTACAATCGTATGAAAATACTCATAGAACATCAAAATTTCAAAATTCTTATTCCAACATTTATTTTCTCTGAGAGGCAGAGGCATTCAGAAATAGCCCGAGTGGTAGCAAGTGCCAACAGCAACCGTCTGCTGGTAAAAACTATCCGCAGCTCCACTTTAAGGGAAAAATGGACACCAGAATGACCATCAAGCTGACCACCAGGCAATACAAAGCACTGGCCAGGGCAACTGGAAAAGCTACCAGATGCAAACTAAATAAATAGCAACGCGTACCAGACCCGTAAAAAAACGTAAAAAACTTTCACGGGGCCGTACGAGTTACCCGCGGGTACGGGAAGGCTGAATTCAAATTTGCCGCGTCACCCGTTGGCGGGGAACACTATACCAAAAATTTCAGCCGCCTAGCTTTTACGGTTCCCGAGTTGAAAGTGCGGGACAAAATGTGGGACACACACACACACACAGGAAGAGATAACCCCGTGACAATACGCGTTTTGTAACGCTGTTACACAGCACAAAACGCATAAAAACCAAACTGTGCACTAATAGCTGTTTCACATATTTAGCCCTAGCATACAATTGTTAAATGAACAATACCTAAGCTGAGCCGAAGCTCAAGGATCAGTGAACAAGCAGCTTGGAGGTTGATCTCATATCTGTGGTTTTCTGCATCATTAGGGGTCTTGCTCCCAAACGTCGACTTATACACGTCCGGATATCATTTGGCCGGCGGAAGTGTGACGAGGAAAATGGGCTCGAATAGAAAAACGGATGAGAATTAACATAAAATTCTTGCTTAGCAATCCTAAAACTTACTGGGCCGAGGTGTAAACCCAATTATCAATAAGCCATTCGATGACATCCAATGCGAGATTTTGCTGCTGCAACTTTTCACCCATCGTACACGTTTTCTGTGCTCCTGAAGTCCGCAACACAATTCCAGCCGCCAGCATTACCAGATTGTTGTGCAAATCAGCTGTTTCCAGCAAAATTTGCTTTTCATTTCTGAAAAAAAAAGCATAACTTTAATAAAAACTAGAAAAATTAGCAAAAACTTCGACAACAAAAAAAAAAAATTAGCAAAATGGAGAAAAAAAAAAATAATGTACAACATTAAATCAATCAACAAACACAAAAAAAGCTGTTTCAGTTAAATTTTTGCAACTTTGAAGATATGCAAAATGAAAATCTGGCATATCTGCGCTTAATGCGGGCCCGTATCTTATAATATCGGACCTCACACTGAATGCCAGAATAATCCAATCAATTTTGACAACTACTACAAACTGGAAGGAACTGAACATAGAAAATGAACATAAATTTGTGCAAACAGCAGAAAGCGATATTAAACGGAAATGACAGGTCATCTGAGAATGGGTAGCACTTAATTAGGAAACACTCCCCTAAATTTTCGGCTTTCTAGCTTTTCTCGTTCCCGAGTTAGCAATTTTTCCGCCAAAATCTCCAAGTGTCCGTAAGTGAACCCACGGCAGACTGTCCTTTGGTTCTGGTGTAATATCCAAGGGATAAAGGAAATACATTAAAAAAATCCCACGCTCGCAGAAAAGAAAACAGCACAAGGTCAAAGTTTATCAGATATCACCTTTCATTAGGTTCCATTACTCGTTTTGCCTTCATTACTGATATCATCATCTCATCGATCCATTGTACTCCGCGTCGAACAAATGCAAATTGACCCACTAAATTAATATGCATGAAAAAAAGGGGAAAATTTTCCAATACATTATATATGGAACCAGAGATTGGATGCGTCGTACTCGATGATTTTTAAGCAATTAGCTTTTTTTCCTTGTCACTGTAAGCCGACTGTAGCAACCCGGTTGACCTAGGAAGACCAAATGGCAAATTTGCGATAGAATACAACATGAAAGAGCTTGTATGAGAAGGTAAGAGTGAGATAAGACGTTTCGGTCCCTTAAGTTGAAAATACCCTCATATCAAACATGCGGTTAAAAACCTTTCAGACTGGCCATTTTGACCAAAGCTGCGCCACCTAGTGATTAATGTACTGCTATTAACTATTCGTCTCCGCCCTTTGTATTTATCGTCGTTTCCACCGTTTTAAGGAATATTATACTTCTCGTTATTTTTCAGTTTCTTACAATCTCAGATATTTCATATTCGTTTTTTCGATTATAAAATGCAGCAGGAACGATAATTACAGCGATCACCCCGAAACTGTCCACTTTCTTGAAATTTTTGCCTATGCTTCTGCCGAATTCGTCCAATCTTGGGCAAAAACAAAACTATCTTAGTTTGTTACACTTCTGCGCAGTTCCTCTAAATTTCCTTTTCCTGTGAGCTATTTACCGTCTTTTTCAAAAAATTTAGCAGCGATTCTAATTATGTCACCAGTTCCTTCATTTATTTTTTTCGCCATTACCACTTTCACTTGCACCCCAACAACGTCACGTAGCTTCGTTTTTCCTCAGTGTGCTCTTTACTACTAACATGCATTACACAATTAATTTAATCCTAACTTTCATTAACCCCAATTACCACAGTCGTCGTGCTGACGAGGATTAATTGTGAAAATGGTAAGGAATTCATATAACTTAATGGACCGAAACACTTTCTACCATTACAGTAATCACACAAATTTTCCAATGTTCATTTCTCCTTTTTCTTTCTTTCTTTTTATTTCATTCCTTCTTATTATAACTTTTTATTCATACATAAATAAAAGAATTACACGACTTGAAGGAAACGTGAACGACCTAGCCCCCAGACACAGGTCTGTTAAAGGCTGTACGAGAAATAGAAGACTTTCCCAACAGTCCTAATCAAAAATTATCAACCGTAGTGCTTACCATCACCAGCTGCTGCAGCTGCAGTATCCGCTAGATCGGTATCAGCACGACGACGTTTAGATGGTATTTTCGCCTTCGAAGTTGCATTTGCTCTGTAATGATTGCAAAAATCGTTAATAACAATGACGACGGAAATAATAATAATAACAACAATAATAACAACAACAATAATAATAACAGTAACAATAATAATAACAATAATAATAACAATAATCACAGCGAAAATCAGTGAAATTGAAAAAACATCATAAAATAGCAAAACCGGTTCGAAATTATTTAATTACTATAGCTATTGCAATAATACCATAAATTTCATTACAATAATTATATGCAAGAAACATACGATTTCGACTTCTCTCGATCGCTGATCTTCAGTAAGGTAACTGTCTGATCAACCGAAAGATCAGACATTGCTCTCAAAACAAGGTAATAAACCACTGATTTGAAACCACGTCCACCGCCGCCTAAAAAAAAGGAACCACTTTCACAGCGAAACAAAAAATGCACACAGCAACAATTCTACTACTTCCATGTTTAACTTGGTATGATTTATTCCAAAGCATTAAGTTCAAATAAAGTCCAAAATTCAGTTCAAACAAACAACAAAAACAACGAACAACAAAAGTTAAAAGTTCAAAAAACAAAAAATAAAGTTCAAAAACTAATCGCTTGTTGCAGAAAATCCATTGAACGCCTATGCATTTATTAAGAAAAATCTTAAGTTCCAAAACTGCAACATTTTTAACTCAAATTTTTTCTAAAATCCTAATCAGCACAGTACGTCGTAGCCTAGCAGTGTAGTAACGCCCAAGACGAGATGGTGATGCTCAATATACACCAAAGACATCTCAAATCCCTAAAAACCCACTAAGTACTGGCAGAATTTGTCAGAAGAGACAAAACTAATGCCGAAGACGAGATGAACCTGTAAGTGACGCAAAACTAATTGCCAATTGCATAACTGGAAAACCGTGCTATGTACCGCAGCAGATCGACCGGGGAATCTTTTCTGATGGCATGCACTGATGAAAAAAAAAAAAACAGCTGACCTCTTCTAGCAGGTTGCTGCGCAAAAATTCTTCCAGGTATCTGAATTGTTGCTAAATGACCATAAGCATCCGTATAATCGGCGCAATGGTATGGTCCAGCAATTAATTCGCACTAAAACATGCAAAAAAAAATTTTTTTCTTTTTTTTTTAGCAAGCGATATACATCTTAGCAACATTAATCAGCATACAAATGCCCAGATAGAGCTGCACAATATTCTGCTAAACCCCCCCCCCCCCCCCCCCCCCCCCCCCCCCC